TTTTTTTTTTTTTTTTTTTTTTTTTTTCTAGCAGCTTTTCAGTGATTCCTTTGGTACATAATCCCCAGCTTCTCTATCCTGCAGCTCCTGAGTAGGGTGCTTCGTGAGGTCAATCTCGAGGTTTCCTCAGATAGGCCAAGAACATTGATGATGCGTCCCCAGCTCATGTCACAAGGCACACATGTTACAGTTTGTTTAGACTTTGCTCATCTCTGCAGAATGTACGACTTGTTTTGTTTCCTACTTGATCTATCTATCTAGCTGTGTATCACTCTTAAAGCTATGTTTGTTATGTTCAGGATGCATAGGAAGCCAGGTCATGTCTTAAATTTCTTACTAGGCCAAATGGAAACAAAGGGATCGTTCAACAAACAGCAGCAGCTAGAGATGATGGGTTTAGTTTCTTCTCAGGATTTCCATACTGTGTTTCGGAAATACATTGGTAAGTTCCATAAATTAGTTTCAGGTTTTCTTCTTTTGCTACGGGAGTTTTTGTCTGATATGTATACAACATTGCATTTTAGATGCGTTCGTAATCTGCAGCTGCTGCAAGAGTCCTGACACAGCTCTCGCTGAGGACAATGGTATTTCCACTCTCAGCTGTGAGATGGTAAGTTTAACTATATAGTGTACCTGATTTCTGCGTTCAGATAGACCAAAGACGAAGACGTAGTTGTGAAACTGTTAAATGACAGGTATCTTGATGTCCTTCTCTTGCAGTGTGGTTTTGTAGCCTCGATCAATCAACCGAGTCCCCTGTGAATATTTGAACTCATGAACTTCAAGAGCCACGTGCTGGGCGGAGTTGCATTTTAAGATTTATTATTGTGGTTTCTTCTGATTTTGACAGTCAGTTGTACAATCTTGAGCCTGAAGATGTTTTTATCTACAATACTGATTGAGATGTAGGACCGTGAATACTGAGCAAAACTATCGGAAATTTTTTGTGAGTTTATTCCTTGTACAACTCCTTTAGTGATTAGTTGCTGAGAGAAAACGTAAATGGATGCAAGCAAACATTATCTAAGTAATGTAAAAGCACGAGTTCCCTATCTCTATTTCCGGCATCTAAGATGTCACACCAAATAGGATTTGCTTTACGATCACATTGTCCAATTTCGTGCTCAACAAGAAATCAAAAGGACAATTGTATTTGCCTTTCTATACCCTTTTCTCCTAGGCTGAAGATGAAGATTGCACGAAAGAAAGTGAGTTTGACATGTCAGCTAACTCCACTGTTGAGGAGTGGGTGCTCTTCGAATCTTAGCTTGGCAGGGACACGTTACTTTGGAACTGTCTCACATCTTTAGTCATCTGATTGATACCTAGGAGCCATGTGCTTCAAGATTCATATCTCTCGTTTTGGAACTAGGAATGTATCTCTTGCCTTGTAAGTTAAAGTTGTTGATTTTAATAATGGAGTACATGTTTTATTGGACACGATGGTATGAATATATACCTACGTAACGAAAAGCTCTTCTCATCTATACACCGGCAAAAATGAAGGACCGTCTAGGATTCAGATTCCTACTCTGCTTTGCGGTTTTCATGATTCTAACACAGCACAAAGCTCTTGCAGACTTCGACAACCATTTCCATGGGTAAACATTACTATCTTTGAACTATTTTACAGGAAGGAAAGACTTGACAGATTGAGACTGTTTCTTTGCAGGGTTGATTCAGAATCAGTAGAAGAAGAAGAAGAGGAATGGGAGATGGTGCAGAGGAAAGGGATGCAATTCACTCTAAATGGACAACCATTCTACGTGAATGGCTTCAACACATACTGGATGATGACTCTTGCAGCTGATAATTCCACTAGAGGCAAAGTGACGGACGTGTTCCAACAAGCCTCTGCAGTTGGACTCACGGTAGGCAGGACATGGGCGTTCAACGACGGCCAATGGAGAGCTCTCCAGAAATCACCCTCTGTTTACGATGAAGATGTCTTCAAGGTACATCGATATACCTACACATAACACGCCTCTTTCTTTTTGTTTAAAGATTTGAGCAATTGGACAGGCCCTGGACTTCGTGGTTAGCGAGGCCCGAAAGTACAAAATCAGACTTATATTGTCATTGGTCAACAACTGGAACGATTATGGGGGCAAAGCTCAGTACGTTAAATGGGGCAATGCCTCTGGCCTTAATCTCACCTCTGATGACGACTTCTTCACCAACCCCACCTTGAGAGACTTCTACAAATCCCATGTCCGGGTGATTATTCCATCCTATCTCTGCGAAACTCATTTGCTTATATATCTATCCAAAAACGGCAACATAGAATGTGGTTGCATTGCAGACGGTGCTGAATAGGGTGAACACCTTCACAAACATCACTTACAAGAACGACCCTACAATCTTCGCCTGGGAACTCATGAATGAGCCCCGTTGCCCCTCTGATCCCTCCGGTGACAAACTCCAGTCTTGGATACAAGAAATGGCGGTGTTCGTGAAGAGCTTAGACGCTAAGCATTTGGTGGAAATTGGACTTGAAGGCTTCTATGGTCCCTCTGCTCCAGCCCGAACCAAATTCAATCCCAACCCCTACGCTGCACAAGTTGGGACAGACTTCCTCAGAAATAACCAGGCTCTAGGCATCGATTTTGCATCGGTTCACGTCTATCCAGATTCATGGTAAGTTTGTTTTCTTGATGCAAAACTACCACGAAACAGAAACTGCCCTGAATACAAGCTGAAATGCAGTAAATAAAACGCAAACTGTAGGATATCACCAGCAGTTTCAGATACTTTTCTGGAATTCACTAGCTCGTGGATGCAAGCTCATGTGGAGGACGCAGAAATGTACTTGGGAATGCCGGTTTTGTTCACAGAGTTTGGTGTGTCCGCACATGACCCTGGGTTCAACACGTCTTTCCGTGACATGATGTTGAATACGGTGTACAAGATGACCCTTAACTCAACAAGGAAAGGAGGGGCCGGTGCCGGGAGTTTGGTGTGGCAGGTCTTCCCTCAGGGAGCAGAGTTCATGGATGATGGCTATGCTGTTTACTTAACGAGAGCTCACACCGCTTCAAAAATCATATCTATGCAGTCCAAGCGACTCGCCATCTTCAACTCCCTGTGTGGCTGGAGATGCAAGTGGGGATGCAAGAAAAAGAATCACACTGCCCTCGATGCCATCCTTGAGCTTTAACTAGTAAAAACCTTTGTGAATCACAACAACAACGCAGATACAAAAATATCAGTGTGTACAAGTGTTTAATATTATTATGTTATTATATATATATATATATATATTGAGATGGGTGAAGTTACTTACTTGCTGATAGATTCCAGACCAATAACAATACAAAATTAATATACCTTCTAAAAGGCTGGTTTGATTGAAAATCGAGAAGTAAAGCATATACCAGAGAGAAAGAAGAAAAAAACATTTATTGAAGGAAGAGGGAGTTTACATTTACATGATAAGAGATAAAAGCAAGAGTTACTTGCTGAAACTGAGCTTCGAAAGAACAGCAGCGGCTTGATCACCACCCAAGAGAAAGTAAGGATGTCGGAGAGCAGCGGAGGCTGAAAGGCGTCCGCGTCGCAGAGAACCTCTCTCGGATATAAGTTTAGTGACGAGGTCCCACCCTCTGCCCGAATCGAGATCTAGGATGGTCAAGTCAGGCCTAGTCCGAGTCCTGTCCCGCCATCTATTAAGGTCATATTCAACTGACTTGATCTCAAGATTGAAATTCTTCAGACCTGCAGAAGATCTTAAGGTTGGAACCGCCATTTGCAGAAGCACTATCCCAGCAGAATACATATCAAACAGATCCGGACTGTTCAACTGTGAGAAGAAGAATGGAGCACTCCAGATTACTAGAAAAGAAAAAACTGTATAAAGAAAGAAAGAAAGAAAGAAAGAAACCTGCCAGAGAATGGGGGAGAGCAAAGCGGCAATAGGCTCGGGAGGAGGACTAGGGGTTTCCTCGGGGAGGACATAGAGCTCAGGAGGACAGTAGTCAGGATCAAGCAGAGTGCGTTGGGGGATGTAATTCTTGCCGATGCGAAGATCAGCAGCAGCACCGAAGTCAATGAGCTTAATCTGCCCCTTCTTAGTAACAACCAAGTTGGCGGGCTTCACGTCCCTGTGAACAATGCCTGTATCATGGATCTTCCTGAGAGATGTAATGATCTGGCGCATGATCTGCTTTATGATCAGTGCACTACGTTTCACAGATTCAACACCTTGAAGAACACGCCCAAACATGATGGACTCCAGATTGGAAGGGAAGCTCCGATCTTTCATGTAATCAGCGAGATCACGGTCTCCCTGTTGAACAATACAATACAAAAAATAAAGATGACCAAGTAGAGAGAGAATATGATTATTGAGGGTAGGGTTTAAGAAAGAACAAGACCTCGAACCTCCAGACGAGCCATTTGCCGCCTTTAGTAAAGATAGTATTGGTCTTGTCGGCGACAAAGCTACCGAGAAACTCAGCGCAGGTGTCAGGAGCCGCCCTTGAGAGTCTGTAGTTGAACCACTCTTCGTAGTCCCCGAATTCCTGCGCCCCTCGTACCCCAAGCTTCACCTTCTTGAGGATGACTCTCTCCTTAAATTCCCCCAAAGATTTAAGTGTAGACTTGTTCATAAGCCTAGCCTCATCCACACTCGAATTCTTTGGGAGAAGGACTCCCGAATATACGACCCCGAAAGAGCCTTCCCCTAGCTTCTCTGTTACCAAGAAATCGGACCTCTTAAACCCCCTTGTCCCTATCAGAGTGTCAAGGCCAAGCTGGAGTGGAGCCAGGAGGTATGCGTCAATCGCGCCTACGAGGACACCAGGCCTCGCCGTAAGGTAAAACCAGACAAGTCCGGCGGATGCAAGGAATGCCCATCTCTGGGTATCGTTGAAAGCAGGGAGGTGAGACAGAGATTGCCCAACTAAATCGACAGGTATGTCCTCGGGAGAAAAGCTGCATCTCAGGTAGTAACTCCGGCTGTTTTTATGGAATGAAAGGGGTGTTTGAGGGGAGGAGAAACCGCCTGTGAAGCATTTGAGATGCGAATGAAATGAGCCGGTGGTGACCGGAGAGAAAAGGGAAGAAGACGAAGCCATCTTATCTCTTTTCTTCTTTCGACCTTCTTCTTCTTCCCCAACAATCTTATCTCCATCCCTTTGTCTATGTATGTGGTGATGGTGAGAGTAGCCTTAGAGAGAGAGAGAGAGAGAGAGAGAGAGAGAGAGAGAGAGAGAGAGAGAGAGAGAGACCACATCCCCATCTTTCCTTCTCAATCTCTTTTCTTACTCAACTGGCCCAACAAACAAAGCCCATCTTGTCCAATCCAATTGAATATTGGGTGAATTTGGCCAAATTTGAGAGTATAATTAAGTGGATGACTATGATTTTGACGTTATTGGGTGAATAACATTTAGCCTTCTTCTAAGTCGGTTATACCCTCGTAAAAAAATAAGTTACCGGTCAAAACAAAAAGAAAGATGACATTGATGACTTAACTAATGAATCAAGCAAATACATCCACGTCACATGTTTTATTACCACATATATGTTAACTATCCTATATAAATGTTCTATTCCATTTATAAAAGTACTATGTTTGATAAAAACAAATATAATACCTTTATATAAACCCAAACTAAATCTGAATTTATTAACCAAAACCAAAATATTAAATTTAATTCCAGTTATAATATTTTGAAAGTGCAATACAATAGTAATATATAAATTTTGAACTATTATTTTATACTATTTAAAATGAAATGGAAAACGATCTATTCAATAGTAATATTAAATTTTTAACGTCAAAAGCGGAATCCGCAAACGATCTATTCCACTCAAGCGTAATAGTATAGGAAAACTCCGCAAACGATCTATTCCATCTGCACCAGGTGGAATAGAAATTCATGAAGCTGGTGATGCGATATGGCTTGTCAATCCTCCTCGTCGAGGAATGATAAGGGAATGGAGTTCAGTTTAAAGAGTAGGTAAGTATGTTTGGAAAATATTCGCCTTAACTCTACGATTCACTTCGTTGTGTGTTTCGATGCTGTTGCTAGGGGAATCAGACACGATAAGCCAAAAGAAAACATAATCTGGGATGTCAAATTTGCCGGAAAGCCAAAAAACACCGGATCTCTGCTGTGATATCACGGTTGCAGAAGTCGCAGCTTAAAATTTTTCACCTTCTCCAAAACTTACATAGAGAAAGAAGTTATTGTGTGAAAGATGTGAATCTCCGATACTTAATATGTGGATTAACCCCAATAAAAATCATATTTTCTGGAGAAACGAAAACATTTAAGGTCTCAAACCTATTTAATATTGATACTATGTAGGTGTATGATGCAGCTATGCATTAAAACAAAAATTCCATTTTTTTATAATTTTTCATGAAATATGTGGGCTAACCACTATGAAAAAGCTGAATTTTCTGTTAAATAATACATCTACTATTTACCATCTTTCGTGTTGTTTAAAAAATACCTAAACGTACTCCAAATTTTTTTACATATATTCTAAACTTATCTTTATGGTACATGTGAATAATTTTAATTTTTCCAATGATTAATTTATTTAACATTCAAATACCACTTAATATGTGGATTAACCCCAATAAAAATCTTATTTTCTGGAGAAACGAAAACATGTAAGGTCTCAAACCTATTTAATATTCATACTATGTAGGTGTATGATGCAGCTATGCATTAAAACAAAAATTCCATTTTTTATAAGTTTTCATGAAATATGTGGGCTAACCCCTATGAAAAAACTGAATTTTCCGTTAACTACTATATCTACTATATACCATCTTTCCTGTTGTTTAAAAAATACTTAAACCCACTCCCAATTTTATATATGTTTGCTAAACTTATGTTTGTGGTACATGCGAATCATTTCAAATTTCCCATTGATAAATTTATTTAACATTGATATACCACTTAATATGTGGATTAACCCCAATAAAAATCCTATTTTCTGGAGAAACGAAAACATTTAAGGTCTCAAACCTATTTAATATTGATACTATGTTGGTGTATAATGCAGCTATGCATTAAAACAAAAATTCCATTTTTTTATAATTTTTCATGAAATAGGTGGGCTAACTCCTATGAAAAAACTGAATTTTCCGTCAAATATTACATCTACTATTTACCATCTTTCGTGTTGTTTAAAAAATTATCTAAATCCACTTGAAATTTTTATATATTTTCTAAACTTATCTTTATGGTGAATGTGAATCATTTCAAATTTTCCAATGAATAATTTATTTAACATTCATATACTACTTAATATGTGGATTAACCCCAATAAAAATCATATTTTCTGGAGAAACGAAAACATTTAAGGTCTCAAACCTATTTAATATTGATACTATGTAGGTGTATGATGCAGCTATGCATTAAAACAAAAATTCCATTTTTTTATAATTTTTCATGAAATATGTGGGCTAACCACTATGAAAAAGCTGAACTTTCCGTTAAATACTACATCTACTATTTACCATCTTTCGTGTTGTTTAAAAAATACCTAAACGTACTCCAAATTTTTTTACATATATTCTAAACTTATCTTTATGGTACATGTGAATCATTTTAATTTTTCCAATGATTAATTTATTTAACATTCAAATACCACTTAATATGTGGATTAACCCCAATAAAAATCTTATTNTACTATTTACCATCTTTCGTGTTGTTTAAAAAATACCTAAACGTACTCCAAATTTTTTTACATATATTCTAAACTTATCTTTATGGTACATGTGAATCATTTTAATTTTTCCAATGATTAATTTATTTAACATTCAAATACCACTTAATATGTGGATTAACCCCAATAAAAATCTTATTTTCTGGAGAAACGAAAACATGTAAGGTCTCAAACCTATTTAATATTCATACTATGTAGGTGTATGATGCAGCTATGCATTAAAACAAAAATTCCGTTTTTTATAATTTTTCATGAAATATGTGGGCTACCTACCCCCTATGAAAAAGCTAAATTTTCCGTTAACTACTATATCTACTATATACCATCTTTCCTGTTGTTTAAAAAATACTTAAACCCACTCCCAATTTTATATATGTTTGCTAAACTTATGTTTATGGTACTTGCGAATCATTTCAAATTTTCCACTGATTAATTTATTTAACATTGATATACCACTTAATATGTGGATTAACCCCAATAAAAATCCTATTTTCTGGAGAAACGAAAACATTTAAGGTCTCAAACCTATTTAATATTGATACTATGTTGGTGTATGATGCAGCTATGCATTAAAACAAAAATTCCATTTTTTATAATTTTTCATGAAATATGTGGATTAACCCCAATAAAAATCTTATTTTCTGGAGAAACGAAAACATTTAAGGTCTCAAACCTATTTAATATTCATACTATGTAGGTGTATGATGCAGCTATGCATTAAAACAAAAATTCCATTTTTTTATAATTTTTCATGAAATATGTGGGCTAACCCCTATGAAAAAGCGGAATTTTCCGTTAAATACTATATCTACTATTTACCATCTTTCCTGTTGTTTAAAAAATACTTAAACCCACTCCCAATTTTTATATATATTTGCTAAACTTATGTTTATAGTACATGCGAGTCATTTCAAATTTCCCAATGATTAATTTATTTAACATTGATATACCTCTTAATATGTGGATTAACCCCAATAAAAATCCTATTTTCTGGAGAAACGAAAACATTTAAGGTCTCAAACCTATTTAATATTGATACTATGTCGGTGTATGATGCAGCTATGTCGGTGTATGATGCAGCTACGCATTAAAACAAAAATTCCATTTTTTATTATTTTTCATGAAATATGTGGGATAACCCCAATAAAAAAGCTGAATTTTCAGTTAAATACTACATCTACTATTTACCATCTTTCGTGTTGTTTAAATATACCTAAACCCACTCCAAATTTTTTTATATATTTTCTAAACTTATCTTTATGGTACATGTGAATCATTTTAAAATTTCCAGTGATTAATTTATTTAACATTGATATACCACTTAATATGTGAATTAACCCCAATAAAAATCCTATTTTCTGGAGAAACGAAAACATTTAAGGTCTCAAACCTATTTAATATTGATACTATGTCGGTGTATGATGCAGCTATGCATTAAAGCAAAAATTCCATTTTTTATAATTTTTCATGCATTATGTGGGCTAACCCCTATGAAACAGCTAAATTTTCTTTTAAATACTGCATCTACTATTTACCATCTTTCGTGTTGATTAAAAAATACCTAAACGCAATCAATTTTTTTTTACAGATATTCTAAACTTATCTTTATGGTACATGTGAATCATTTTAATTTTTCCAATGATTAATTTATTTAACATTCAAATACCACT